CGACCCAACCAAAGAGCCATAGGACTAAAAATAGCTTGAAATGACACGAAAATCGTCTCTAACTGAGGGCTAGGCCAAAGGGCTTGTGGGCCCCACCAAGCCAAAAACACCAATTCAAGCCAGCTGGCTAGTCATTTCCAGCCAGCCCGATGAGCCCAACACATTTTTTTTTAAGAAAAAAATCTAATTTTTTTTCCTACACCATTTCTCACATACTTTTTCACCATTACATTCTATCTTACCTCATTTTATTTCAATTCTTCACATTCTATTCTCTTCCAATAATTTTTCCTTTAACTTTTTCAATAATTTTCAAATGGCCACCTCTTTCAATAATCTTCCAATATGTCCGAAAATTTTATTTTAATATGGTAGTTTAATTTAATTAACTATATTAATTCAATTAAAATAATAAATTAGGTTTGGCTTATGACTCTTTGGCCCTCTCGGTTGGAGATGATTTTTTGTCAAATGGCTATATTTGGCCTATGGCCCTTTGGCCCCTTGGTTGGAGATGGTATAAAATATGGCCTAGGATTGTTCATTAAAATATAATTTCTTGGAGGGCTATAGGGCTAAACGTATCCATTTGACCATCCTTTAGTTGGAGATGGCCTTAGATTGGAGAAGACCCAGCGAAGGAAAAGAAGACCAAGTCAGTGGGCTTATAAGTCAGCCCAATAGAACCAAAGAAATGAGTACTGACCTCTACGGATGACCGCTTATCGGTCTAGATTAATTATCAGCAAAAAAGCTGAGAGCCTATTTAGAAAATACTTTCCAACTACGTGAAGTAAGTTGACAAACTAACAACAAAGACATAGAGACAAGCCTACTCAGACACCAACCCCAAACCACTTGTTAGCCATCAACAAGAGTAGAATCCTATGAAAGAACATAAAGGTTGTTACACCCAACGCTCGGGTGGGGGTTTCCTCCACCCTTCAGGGTCGAGCGAGGCGCTCTATATGTGTTGGCCGAGGAAACCATGCAATTAAACCTGAGCAAACATCACTTCATCTTTACGTGTCGACTGAAGAATGAAGGAGTAGCTCGCAAGTTGTGTCTATGCATTTGGTTCATTTAATGCTAGAGTAGTGAAGTACTTGAGAGCCCATGACTTTTGGGGCTTACGGAGGGCCTTTATAAGTGGGATTAGTACCTCTTATAACCAATCAGACACATAAGAGGAAAAAAAAAACATGTTACACTATTACAGAGCACTCCTTCTAATCCATTTCAAATATATATAAACTACAGTTGACGTATCCTAGTTTTTTAGGGTGAACCACTTAAACCTTACTGTCATATCTTTGAAGTCTTAATCCCAAGCCCATCAAGGGTTGACCATGCTAGCCTTTGTTGACGCTTCTATTTTGAGTGTTAACAATATGCATTCAGTTCTAGAAGAACATGACTTATATATTTCTATATACGCATGTCGAGATTGAACGTAACCGATAATTATCCCTTAATGTTAGAATTATTTTCATTATAAGTTGCTTCTTAGAATTATGTTTGAGTTCCTTACTATTGGAAACTTGAAGTTAATTTATCGATATAATGTGTTGATATGACACGAAAATTTTACCTTTGACTCGTTTTTGAGATCATAATATTTATGTTACGCTATACAAGTAAGAACTCATATCGACATCCATTAAGTAAGCATGAAGATTCTGCATTTATGGATTAGGTGGTGGCATCGCTGAGTGCATTTGCTCCACAGTTCAATACATTTGTTTCATTCGCCATGGGGAAAATCCTCTATAAGTGTGAAGGAATTCTTCCTCAACATACTTCGTGGCTGAAGAGACGGAGCCATAATTCTGAAATATGAACTGAAGATTTAATTTTGGGTTCTGTAAAAGGTGAATTTTTTGTGTCACTGCTGCCCCCGTCGACTTATATAAAACCATCATATTTTCTCTGTGCTAATTTTATCAACCAATTTACTCACTTCAGGGCGAAGGGTTTACTGAAATAATTGGATTTCTTCGTGTTTCCAGAATTTATCGAAGCCTCCAACAGTGCTGCCAGGAACATTATATCTGTTTGGGATTGTTTGTTATTGCTTCTAGTTAGCAGGTTTTCACAAAAATGCTATCTATTTTTTTTTTTGCAAGATCTTTGCACATTGTCTTTATAGATTTGAAAAAAGTGTATGATAGGATCCCAAAAGACATTCTTTGGAGAATTTTAGAGAATAAAGGAGTACGAGTAACATATATCCAAGTTATAAAGAATATGTATGATGGAGTAAGAACTACTGTAAGAACCCATGAAGGACAAACCGAAAGCTTCCCCATAACTATAGGGTTACATCAAGGCTCATCTTTAAGTCTTTACTTTTTTGCATTGATAATGGATGAGTTAGGTGGATGAGCTAAGGGGACATATTCAAGATGATAATCCTTGGTGTATGCTTTTTGTAGACGATGTAGTGTTAATAGATGAAACTTAGGAATGAGCAAATGCGAAGCTTAACCTTTGGAGAGAAGTGTTGGAATATAAAGGTCTTCGTCTAAGTCGGTTAAAGACAGAGTATATGGAGTTCAAGTTCAGTGCGAACGGAGGCTCACATGAGTTAGGGGTGACGATTAGAGGTCAGGAAGTACTAAAGAGCGACCGATTTCGCTACCTAGGATCTATCTTGCAAAAGAATGGAGAGTTGGATGAAGACCTCAATCATAGAATACAAGCTGGATGGATGAAGTGGAAGAGTGTATCGGGTGTGCTGTGCGATCGTCATATGCCACTAAAGCTCAAGGGAAAATTTTATAGAACAGCAACAAGGCCAGCAATGCTTTATGGCACAGAATGTTGGCGGTGAAGTATCAACACGTACATAAAATGAGTGTAGCAAAGATGAGAATGCTTCATTGGATGTGTGTGCCCACGAGAAAGGATAAGATTAGGAATGAAGATATCCGAGGTAAAATAAAAGTAGCTGAAATTGAAGGAAAGATGACAGAAAATCGATTACGGTGGTTTAGACATGTGAAACGAAGGTGTACTGATGTTGTGATTAGAAGATGCGATTATGAGACAAAGGTTCAAGACCAAAGGGGTAGAGGAAGACCTAGGAAGACTTTGGAAGAGACTCTAAGAAAAGGCTTGGAGTACTTGGATCTAATGGAAGACGTGGCACAGAACCGAGCGTAATGACGTTCTAGGATTCATACAGCCAACCCCACTTAATGAGAAAATGTTTTGTTGTTGTTGTCGTTGTCTCCACAATCTCTAAAACTCAAATTTCCTCATCAAGGAATCCAACATAAAGCTTCAATTTATAGATATTTGGTTGCACATAACATTGTTTTTTGGTAAGATCGTATTAGTGCCAAAGAGTTGCTAATAATTCTTCTGGCTTTGTCATAAGATCCCTGTGTTTGGTGCTCCTTTGATTACTGGTATTAAACCCTTGAGTTGTGTGAATGCCTTGTAGTTGAAGCTCTTGTAACACTCCGTGTCCAATAAATTTTGGCATACCGGGTGGAAGGAAAATATTGACAATATGTCAAATTGCCAAGTTAGCTATCAATTTAAATTTGATGTTTTGAATTTGATGTCTCCTTTGGATATGCTTTAAGACCATCTCCAAAGGAGATGTCAAATCCCAAGTGGAAAGCCATGTAATCAAATTTGAAGGCAAGAACAAGCTCCAACTGATATGTCAATCCTATGTAGATTGACATATGAGTTTTCATATGTCAAATTTGACATATGAGAAAAAGTGATGTCAAATAATTTTTAATTATTTTATTATGTGAGCCTCATTAATGCACCAATTATAGATCTTGAAAATTTATTTGAATTGATTTCTTTTTAAAATGAGTCCAACAAATATCATTTATAACAAAAAAAAAAACATATCAGTTGAAAAAAAAAAGAGAAAATCTGACATTGCCACGTCAGCCAACAAATTAACATATGACATTTATCTTTTGACATCTCCATTAGAGATGCTCCACCAAAAGTCAATTCTAGTCATTCTACATCATTGTGAGTGACAAGAACTCAAGTGGCCGAGTTAAGTCCAACAATTGAAAAGTCTGAGTCGCACATGCTGGTTATGACATACTGAGACAATTTAGGAAACTTCGACCACTTCTACCCTCAAGTTGGTCTTTCTTGACCAGTTCAAGTTCATCATCGCAACATTTTGGGTTAGGGAGACTCCAAAGATATTATTGATCGTGTAAATAATGTTTGAACTTCTTTGTGGCGTCTTGTGGTTTTGCTTTCAGGACATTGAAGTTTTTGTCCTGAAGTTTGATATCATGACGTTTGTGCATGTGTTTAATAAAGCAAATTTTGGTTGATAACGTAATTAAGTTAGATCACTCTTTTTCTTCGAGTTGTATTTGGCTTAATGTCATCCCTTGGAGCACTAGAAACGCCATCCTCTTTGGTAACTGTTGTCCCGGTTGCCCTCGTAGTTTTGCGATTTAATATATTTCCCTTTAAAAAGTATGTATTTTTAAAATTGAAATTTTCTTTTGAGAACAAAGTCAAACTATTTGCCCACACAATTAAACAAACAAAAGTCACTTTGTTTTTTCATAATTAAAAGTCACATAAAAGAGACATCACTCAAATGATGATGAACAAACTTGTATTCTAAGCAAAAATCCCAAAATAAAAATAAAATAAAATAAAATAAAAGCAAGTAGCATAACGGGAAGCCCATTGACAAAACTTATGCGTTTTCTGTGGGCTTTAAAATTCTTAATAATAGTTAAATAAAAAAAAACAAAACTTTTAATTAACTCCATTAATAATTAAAAGCAGTTTCCGGTCGGAAACAGTACCAACTATTTGGGAAATCGTCAAACATTAATATCGTTCTCTTTCCTTAATGTCGTTCTCTTTCCTTAATTAATGGGCGCTGAAGATCACTCAAACGACGCCGTTCCAGCACTAACAAGTCCAGAGAGAACTCGAAAGGGAAGACACACACACGCAAAAGCAGAAGGAAGAGATCGTGCAACGGGTCTCTCAGAGGAACGAGGCATCTAATCATAGTGTTCTTCACGAGCAAAAGCTCCGAACCCCATCAAAATAAACATATTATACTCTCCCTCTCTCTCCTCCTCCTCTTCTTTCTCTCTCTACCTTTTCCATTTTATCCAATTTTTTTTGTTGGCTTTTTGAATTAATGGCTATTGTGAGGAATAAAGCTTGAGAAAACTAAAGCAGGAGGAGGAATGCTTGCCTTTTGAGCTCCCATTACAATGGCTGATGATCTCTGGTCCTTCAAGGTTTGCTATTTCATGCTCCTTTTGAAATTTCAGCTGTTTTTCTTTCTGCCTTTTTTCTTTTTCTGGACTTTTAGTTTTTGGGGTATTGGATTCTGACCCTTTTGTAATTTGTTTGATTATTTTATGGGTTGCATGTGAATTTCCCGATCTGGGTGCTGAAATTTTTTACATTTTGCTTCCCGGATTTATCGGTTGCTTTTGGTCTGTGCATTCAAGCTGAAGCAAACCCAGATATCCTTTTTTATTAGGAAAATGGGTCTTAATCACACTAATATTTTACTTAATGAATTAATTAATAGCACAATAATGCAATTTATGAACCCTGGGAATGTTTGTTGGATCATTCCATTCATACCCATGTCGTTTGTTCATCAGATTGAATGAAAAGTTTAAACCTTTGTTAGGATTAATTACCCATGTCATATTTTTATCTGTTAGGATTAAATCTTAATCACATCATTGTTGTTTTACTTAATCACTGTGATTTAATAGCTTAATCATGCGATTTTGTGAGTTCTGGGAGTTTTTGGATCATTGAAATTAGACCCATTTCATTTTGTTCTTCCTGCTGAGTTGACTGTGCACAAACTTCTGCGTAGCTTGATGGCGATCGGATTGACTTGTAAAGTTTGGACTTTGTTAGGACTAATTACCCTTTATTATTTTTTATTTACCTTCAATTTTGCATTGCCCAATTCATGGACTGCAGGATATATTTTTGATAAAGGCGCCGAAGAATTCTCCTTTGGTGCTGCGGATGATTGTTGTGTTGTTTGCAATGGTCTGTGGTGTCTATATTTGCTCAATTTGTTTACAGCAGGTCAGCACCCGCACAAAATCTGGATTCTTAAATATTGAGGTGATTCAAAGGCCGTGTCCACAGCTTGATGTTGAGCCTGAAGAACTTCGTTATATGCACTACCCAAAGCCCAAAACTTATAGCAGGTATGCTACTGGTTGTTGGAATTTCAAGTTTGGGTTCTATTTGGAATGCAATGATTTAGATTTATTTTTGTGCATAATAGGGCTGAGTGTGCTTGCAATCCTGTGCAATACTTCGCAATTTTGTCGATGCAGAGGTCTGGGAGTGGGTGGTTTGAGACACTATTGAATAATCATACTAACATAAGCTCAAATGGGGAGATTTTCTCTGTGAAAGTTAGGAGAAGTAATATTTCAACAATCGTTGAGACTTTGGACAGACTTTATAATCTAGATTGGTTGAGTAGCGCCTCAAAGAATGAATGCACCGCTGCAGTTGGCTTGAAGTGGATGCTTAATCAGGTCAGTGCTTTTTCATGCATTGTTTTTCGGTTTTTTATTTCTGTTAATTGGCTATTTGGTGGTTTTGTTGAGTGAGAGACAATGGCATTTCAGTTCAGTACATTCTATTTATGATTGGATATGGTAGTTTCTTTATGATTTTCTAGGGTCATTGAAGGTCGGCAAGTATGAATGGATGATTGACGATCCTGCACTTATTTTGTATCTCACTGGTGGCTAGTGGGACGGGTTGAGAGATGGCTGAAAATAGACAATGATTTTCTGGACAACTGTTAAGCTTGAATTTTATATGCTAATGTGTAGCACTGCAGGAATTAAATTGCTTCCATGAAATTTATACGTTACAAAAAGATGGTATTAGTCTCACACTTTGTTTAGATTATGTATTGATGCATGAATGCTCAGTATTTGCATTACGACATATTTTAGAGACGTAGGCAGTGCTATCATTAAGAAATGCTTGTCCTGAATGAAACTGAAGAGCCTATTAGGAAGCTAGCCTTCAAGTAAAGTAATTTAGGGTATTGAAGGGATAATACAATTGAATTAGCAAGAAGCGTACAGATTTCATGAAAACTGATGGATCTAGATATTGTTCATCATATCATGTCACTGAGTGAAGAACGTCCTGTAAGTAATGAAGACCTTATATTTTAAAGTATAGGACCATCTTACTGCAACTAATGAATAATTATTAACGAAGGAGGATGAGTTGAGTAACATTTCAAACTTGATTGGTATGGTACTTACATGTATACAAGTCTTGGTCAGAAAGAACTGTGGTGCGAACTAAGATTTGGGTTTATCCATCTAGTACTTTAATTTGGTCCAGCGACATGTCCACCCAATTTGTTTCTCATAACCAATTGGTCTGAAACTCATTCCTTATGTTTATATTTGTATCAAATTCCGTGTTCTAGGTGGAATATGAACAGTAGGCAATAGTTTGGTTAGCTCATGAGAAACAATTTAACGTGTTACGCTCTGCATTTTCTTGTTTCATGCATGGACCAGCCAATTAAATATTGCAACATTTTATGCAGGGCTTGATGCAGCATCACAAAGAAATAGTAGAGTACTTCAATACACGGGGTGTTTCTGCTATCTTTCTCTTTCGAAGAAATCTGTTGCGGAGGATGATCTCTGTCCTTGCAAATTTGTATGACCGAGATAATAAGCTGCTTAATGGGACCCACAAGTCTCACGTGCATTCTCCTCACGAGGTCTGTGTCTCCCTCCCTCATATGCAAGGTTTTTAAGGAAAAGTGAATTGCTTGTTTTTAACTTGATTTGCAAACTTATTACATGTCATGGCTGCAGGCAGAAATACTTGCAAAATACAAGCCTACAATCAATGCAACTTTGCTGATACCCAACCTGAAGCAAGTACAAGATACAACCACGAAAGCTTTGGAATATTTCAAGAGCACCCGTCATATTATCCTCTACTATGAGGATATCGTAAAAAACCGCACTGTAAGAGAAACATTATGAACGCTAAACTGATTTTTCATTTCGTTGTTTGCAATAAATTAATACTTGTGCATCAGTATTTTTGTCTCCACCCTCCTCTTTCCTTAAACCAGCGCCCCGAAAAAAGGGTAGAAAATAAAGAACACCAACCCCTGAAAGTTTCAGTTTTGTGTGTTTGCAGAAGTTGCTTGATGTTCAAGATTTTCTTAAGGTTCCAAAAAGGGATTTAAAGAGTCGCCAGGTGAAGATACACAAAGGTAATTTGTCTAGTCAGATTGAGAATTGGGGCGACATCCAAAAGACACTTACAGGAACACAGTATGAAAGCTTCCTCAGTGCGGATTATCGAAGAAGGTAAATAGCAGTGAGGCGATGTATAAACCGTGCTTTATTCATTTCACATTTTTGTTTCTTCTTTCGTCTGCAGCCGCAGAAGCCAACGGGTTACCTCCCTGTTGGAATTTTGGCTGCAGCCTCTAATTTTGATTGTAGCTTCTTTGTCACTCGATTTTTGTTTCGTTTTTGCCACACTCGTTTAATATTCAATTGATTCTTTGTCTTCTCCTTCTCTACGAGAAACATCGTCGTTGTATTCAAGCTAATCAATAGAGAAAGTTGTAGTTTCACCTTGCAACGTATGAAAATCTTCAGAAATTTACCAATGCAACATGTTATTAGTCGTCGATTAAACTTTTGCCCATCTTCACAATACTTTGGAGCAATTTGTAGTACAGGGATTAGGATCCTATCCAGATCCTCTTTGTGGGGATCCGGAGGGTCAATCAATCGTGTTTGTTTTTCGTACGTTTTTTATATTTTTTTTATTTAAAATTAAACACTAACAATACTTAACGAAAACTAATTGCACGATGTATGACGAATAGACACGATTGATCTTTCAGATCCCCACAAGGAGGATTCGTAGAGGATCCTCATCCGTAGTACAGATGGCCGGCCATCTGAGGTGTCTTCTTGCTTCCATGAAGGACCCTCACATTGTGCCGGACACACTCTTCATAAACTTTGTTCCCCTGCAACTTTAAGGGATGCTATTAATAACAAAGGCTTTTTAGTCAAAATGGTCTCTGAGATTTGCATAACATATAACTTTGGTCTTTGAGATTGAAAATCAATAGAAATGGTCCATGAGATTGTCCACCATCCATCATTTTGGTCACTCTGTCAAAAACTCTTTGAGCAATTTTCAAAGCTTCGTAATTCAATCATTTCTTAATCAAATTCGACCCATAATGTATGAAAATGAAGATAGGAAAGTGTAGAACAAGATTATACCTACTTGGAAGCCCAATGGTTGCCGGAGATGGCCAGAAAATAGCCTAAAATGTGACTGGTCTGCGGGAAAACTGGAAAACTTGCCGGAAACTGGGTAAACTTTAAACGTTCATAACTTCTTCAATACTCAACGAAATTGAATGATTAAAAAACAAAAATCATACTTTTCAATGAGACGAAGAGCATGGTACCTTTCTCGATGGCTAATTTGGTGCTATGGCCGGAAACGGCTCGAAATTGGCTAACTTGAGACCAAGACAGCTAATTTCGAGCCATTTTTCGGCCAAACCACGGTGAGCTAGCCGTTGAGAAAGGTACCATTCTCTTCGTCTCGTCGAGAAGTATAATTTTCGTTTTTTAATCAATCGATTTCGTTGAGTAGTAAAGAAGTTATGAATGTTTAAAGTTTATCCAGTTTCCGGCGAGTTTTCCAACTTTCCAGCAGACCAGTCATCTTTTAGACTATTTTCCGGCCATCTCCGGGAACCATTGGGCTTCCAAATAGGTATAATCTTATTGTACACTTTTCTGTCTTCATTTTCATATATTATGGGTCGAATTTGGTTAAAAAATGATTGAGTTACGAAGCTTTGAAAATTGTCCAAAGAGTTTTTAAATTAAGGACCAAAATGATGAATGACGGATAATCTCATGAACCATTTCTATTGATTTTTATTTTCAGGGACCAAAGTTATGTGTTATACAAATCTTAATGACCATTTTAGCTAAAAAGCCTATTACAAATCCTAATGGAGACGATGTTCAAGGAGCTCGGTCGAGAAGAATTTACATAAAAAAATAGAGAGTTTTAACGAAAAGCCCATAGTACTGTTCATTCTAACAAAAAACCATATTTTTATACTAAAAAATCAATCATGGTACTATTCACTTTACCCTTTATTTTGTCCAAACTTAAAGTTTTCAAGCCCTTCTAATTAGTTTTCTTAAAAAAATAACAATATTTCAAATTAATCACGCAATAACATGTATGAGAGTTAAAACACATTTTGAACACATAACATTACTCGGCAGATTTAGAACGCTGTTAACTTGATGTCTCAGTTACATGTGAGTATAGAACGCTGTCAATTTGGTGTCACTTGGCAGGTTAGAACGTTGTTCATGTAAGTTTCTCGATTTGAAGTTTGATCTTATCCTGGAAGATTTGTTAGGTGGGGTTCTAAAAGAAATGAGGAAAATGCGGTTTACCGACCTGTATTGCATTTGTTTCACAAATGTATTGTTTGTCTGGTGAGGTAGGACATGTTGGATGTTCTGACCGGAGGGTAGAGGCTGGTCAAAAATTTACAATCCGGCACATAAAGGAACGCGTACGACCGCGTTTTCATCATTCTACCTCGGCTGCGCTATTGTTGGCCGTTAGATACAACTCGCGTCAATAGTGGGACCCAGATAGGTTTTTGTTTCCTGTTTTGGCCAGTGGACAAATATTCAACCACCTCAATGCTCAATCTCCTTTCTCCAAAATTTGACTTTTTATTTTTAACCCCCAAAAACTTGAGGCTCCGAATCTGTGACTACATATAAAAGGCAAAAGGACCACAGCTCCTTCTTTATGGTCTGTCGTACAAAATCAAGCCTTCTTTATAAGTGACAGACCATGAATATACCTTATTTATATCAAAATAATTAATTTTGACTATTTAAAAATTAAAAAAAAAAACCGGTGACAAGCCATAATTATCTACTATTTTCGAGGACGGAAAAGACTCATAGAGACATTTCAGCCTCCTTTTGGCCACAAGTCTAACTTCCATACCAACAGCGGGTTTTGAACTCAAGATCTCCAATTTTTAGTTTTAAAAAAACCTCGTAATCCGTTATTTACCACTGAACCACTAGCTCGTGGTTTAATTGCTTTTAACTATAAATAACTTCAAAAGCGTTTGTGTATACAATTTGCATGTATGTATATTTGACAAAAATTAAAGAGAGTTCATTCAAAAAGGAAAGAATAGGAGCATCTCTAGAGCAAATGTCAACCTTTTGAGACAATGTTTGTTGGTCAACCTTTTGGTTTAATTAAGAGCATTTTCAAAATAAATGTCAAAACTACCACATAGACATACAATAGTAAAAAATGACATCACACTCTCTCCAACAAAGCTTTTATTTTCTTATGTGGTGGCTTATGTGGTGGCGTTGAGTAAATTGAAAGCAAAGTCTTTTGTTGTCATATTTGACTATCAAATTTATTTAATATTTTTTTATGGATGTGATGCATTATATAATCAATGTTGTTATACTTCCAAGTATTTGATTAGTTGTCTCAATAATTGGACTCCACAAAGAGATGAATAAAATTATAGAATGATACTATTATTTAACATATTGGGTGGAGCAAAAAAATTGTTCAAATTACCACATAAGCCATCAAATAATCTCAAGGCAAAATCATTAGGCACAACACACTTGACCACTTGGTGCACTGGTCTTCAAGTCCAAGTCTATTATGATTAGATAATTTAATTGGTGTTGAGCATTACTACTACGAAATTGGATCCGCTCCGGACCTTAGTGTCTAAAGCCTAAGGATTAACTTATCTGGGTAGGCACAAATTGAATCCAACAGTCTCCATTAACTCATTTCGTTGGTCCACAACACACAAACCAACTCTAATTTCTTTTACATACCAATCAACAGCCCAGATGGATTGATCATTAAACTCCGAACACTAAGATTAAAGCGGATCCAATTCCTTAATACTACATTACATGCGTCAAATCAGTGTATTTTACAAGTCCAATGAATTTTACAAATTTAATTCATCTGATGATATCTATGGTAATTGTCAATACTGTTTAACGAGGACGAACCAATTAATTGTTGCCAGGATCATGCCAATCCATTTGCTCATGGAACCACAAAGGCACAAAGCACTTTGGCCTGACCATTTGATATAACAGCGCCAATTCTCGAGTTCAAGTACATTACGATCTTGATAGCAAATTATCATCCTCGAACATTACCACCATATTTTACAATAAAGGAATGAGAAAGTTCAGAGTTTGGCTAAGCTACATAATTGACAATTTATTTTTAGTATCGAATTCGTCATTCACGAAATTCGAATATAAAACTTCTCACTTAAAAAGTAAAAACAATATTATCAGATCGTAATACGGATTGAGAGCAAATCCCTTAATTAGCTTTGGTCAATATATGAAGGCTAGACAGTGCCAAAAAAGGGGACAAATTCAGTGAAAAATTGATAACGTGCAATCCAGCTCACCTAAAGCACCAGTTAGCATCCACTCCATGCTGTCCATGTACATCGGACGACAGTAACTCCCTCGGGCCTCAGACCCAAAACAAATTACCGACTGAGGAGGGCCCCACACGTCACGGACGGCAAGCAAACGTGATTTAACGGACGGACGTAGCAAACGAGGTCCCATCTCAAAAATGGAAAATACACATATTAATATAAAATAAATAAAAAAAAAAAAAATCTAATCATAAGCAATAATCACACCACCGCCGCCCTTTAAAATCCCATTTCGTCACATGAAACCCCTCTCCCTCTTCGATTCCGCGCAGACCTCGCCTCCCTCCTCTCTCTCTAGCTTCAAACCGCTCTCTCTGCTCTCTCTCCTCAAATCTCAAAGAACATAGAGAACCAAGAATTCTAGAGAGAGAGAGGTGCAGAGAGAAGAGAAGAGAATCACAAGCTCAGAAGAACTCCATCATGGCCCAGCAATCTAACGGCGGCGCCGATCTGGGCACTCAGCAGCAGCATCTGCAACAACAACAGCAACAACAGCAGCAGCAGCAATGGATGCACCAGCAGCAGCAGCAGCAGCAGCAATGGATGGCCATGCAGTACCCGGCCGCGGCGATGGCGATGATGCAGCAGCAGATGATGGTGTACCCGCAGCATTACATGCCATACGCGGCGACTCCCCATCATCCTCACCACAATCCATACCAGCAGCAGCCTCAGGCTGTGGCGTATCAGCAGCAGCAGCCGCCGAAGCAGCAGCATTCGCCGTCCCAGAAACAGGGGCCCACCGACGAGGTCAGGACCATCTGGGTCGGCGACCTTCATCATTGGATGGACGAGACTTACCTTCACGGATGCTTTGCTCACACTGGACAGGTCAGATTTTAGCTTCAGTGGACTTCTTGTATGAACTCATTTGGGGTTTTGTTTAACTAAAGTTTTGAAATTTTGATGAAAAGAATTGTGGGTTTTAGTTTATTTTACATAATTACAGCTCAATGATTGATTGGAGGTTGATGGTTTCTTTTATGATTGAATGTTATGTGATTGTCATAGCGTGTATCCTAGCTTATCTTTGTGGTTTTTCGGTTGTTAG